ACGTTAATCCAGGATTAATATACAAATCAAGGCACAAAGTAATTATAGAAAATAATATAAAGATAACATCGTAAATGTGATATTATATTTTATTTCGGTTTTTAAACACATTTTATTACTACACCTATGTTATATTGTGAACAATTGATATTTTATGTGCAATTTTACAATACATTACAAAAGATCGAGTGCATCATAGTAATAGTTATATTTTACAAGCAATTTTTATTTATATTAATTAGTATTAAGATTATTTAAATCATAAACATATACATATGTACTTCATAGGTTTCGAGAGTGTTGGATAAATATTCTTATACACTTTATATAAAATTATAATAAAAAGGCGAAAGAATACATTGCATTAAGTGCAATTGTCGCTTAAATTGCTAAAAGTGATCTAGACTATACAACATTAGAGAAGAACACGGAAATCATAAGTAATGAATTATAAACTACCAAATAATTATATATGAAATGGGTACATAATGACATATATGTAATGGAGGATTTTAGGTGACTCAAAAATTGAAACAAAATTTTCTTTTTACAAAGTCTGTTTCATTGTATATTTCGAAGGGTGTGTTAATAATATGATTAGTTTTTCAGTTGAATGAAACAATTATATTTGATTTTTAATTTTATTTCATGGGTTTACTGTATGTCATCAGTCTCTTAGAATTAACAAAAACATCTCATATAACCTTTTTAGTAATCAATAATCGTTTACACAACATCGATATGTTTAGGGTCTACCCTATTAATATATATATAATATGGATTCCATTCAAATACTTTTTAAATTTTAAAACTTAAGCTTTGACAACTGACTGCCAAAACTACACCACGTTATGTTTCGTCGGCTAATGAACAGAACGGCAAAAAACATCAAAAGAAAACAGTTAATAGTCTTATATTTTAAATAAACTTAGTGACATTTAAGGTATCGTTTGTTTTTTTGCAATGGACGTTTTGATAGGGAAATTATTATGACATAAAGTACAAAGAACTAACTTCTCTTCAGATGAGAACCTCCTTATCGTAGGTAATGCAAATGTATCATTAATAATACCGATAAGACCGCAAGGTGCGAGGTATGATCAAAGTGTGGTTAAGGTTTACATTATACAGTCAATAAACATCTTTATCCATAGTCATTCAAGTGTTAATAATTTCTTTTGATCCTTAAAATATAAGAAATTTAATTAATATTATATATCATTATTAATTGATATTACAAAATGGCACTTTATTCAATAAATACCATAAATAATAGCATTATGTAAAATAGATTTAATATTAAATAATTTTATAGAATATTCACAAATCAACAGTCAGACAATATATAAAACTGAGGGTTTTCAACAATGATTTAATGAAAAATGTGTTGGAAAAACTTGACAAAGGCAGACGAAATATGTTACTATATAAGATTATTGAATGACGGTGGCATATTATGCAAAGGGAAACATGCGACGAAAAAATGATGAGAATATCTCAAGAATATATATCACACGATAAGGGAAAGTCAGAAAAATTTTTGATGGATTGCGTTAAACAAGATATACGTAGAGACTTCAATTCAGATATCTTATCTGATACACATATTAGAAGACATACATATTTATAGCGGTACGAACTGTTCCGTCTCCAAATAAATGGGGTAAAATACAGTAAGACGATGAAAAAAATATAATTATATACTTATATATAACAAGTCAGACAAGCGTCATTAATTGGGAATATTTTTTCATGTCAAAACTTTTTCGAAAACATATAAACTTGTTCAGAACGTTCGCTCTCGACTTCCCAATCATTGGGTGTTATTAACTTATATCGTTATATCAAATAAAATAACACGAATGAGCAAAACAGTAAACTCTCGCAACAGCAAAAATAAGAAAAACTACATTATCTACGTGAGACCTCAAAGTATAAGTTGGCATGCTCTCGTTGATTATCCAAAGCGGATTATTTCCTCTCTATTACATATAATAAGTTACGGATGAAATTCTATACGATGTATTGTATTGTTTGCAATATACAAATAAACAACTATCATATATTAAGTAAATAAAAATGTTTGATATCAAATATTTATAACAATTAATAACAAAAAACATCATAATCTGAATTCCATACAAAAAATAAAATATAAATACTGCAAAACGACTTACTTTTATTTTTATAAAACATATGGTTTTTCATTATAAAAAATAAAAGCAATATAAAAACTGTTAAATGAATATAAATTTCTTTTTTCCTTAAAATTTTATTTATAGTTTATAGAGGGAATCAATGTGCGATATTTTTTTGTTTTAATATTCATTGAGCGTATAAATTTAAAATGTATATAGAAATAAAAGTAGAAGGAAACTGTCCCAAACATTATTTTTAAGTTCCATACGAGGTTCCTTACTATGTTATAAATAGAGGATAGTGACATTTATTTAGATATGATAAAAATTCTGGTAAAACAAATGATGCCTGGAAAAAATGATATATCTGTACACTGAACATAAAGATACAAGGAAGAATTCACTTCATTAAAATTGACAGATAACGTGTATTTACTGGTATACATCTTATCTAAATTAAAAGTACTCTAAGTACTCGTTGCTTTCATAACAAAGAATTATTTAAAGAAATAATTTCGTAGTTTGTAATTGTGTTTAGAAAAAAAGAGTTATTAATGTGATTAATTTAAATTGAATAGCGATAATGATAAGAAATAAAATTTAAATAAAATTGAAACCAAGATCTTTTCTTAACTTGAAATATATTTTTGTTATGATAAAGTAATGAGGGAAAATCAACTGTGAAAAAGAACAAAATAAGCAGAAAGGGGTTTGATTAATTTCAAGTATAACGATTGTATTGTTAGTCTTAAAAAAATTATGAAGGAGCAACAAAAAGTAATTATAATATAAATAAATAATAAATTCCGAGACCATTGTATTTAATTTGAACTTAAACTTTATCGGTATGGATTTTGTTTAATGCTATGGCTTTATCCGCACTGAAATCGTGGAATATTTTTATTTGTTGAACGAATAATAAATCCCTATAGATAAGACCAGCAAATGATATGTTTTTTATGGTTAATACCTACTGAAATAAACTCAAAAGTAGCAGGCCTTTCCGCAATAATTACTATAATTAATTAATCTCTTTAATACTACTCATAGTTTATAATAATGGCCATAGCTTAGCTTAATTCTTTTTTTTTATTTATCTCACTAGAATGAATAGAATATACATAACCATATTTAATTTAAACAATGTTACTTATAGTACAGTGCTCCATTGTCATTCAATTTATAATTTTTTATCATATGTCTAATCAACACATAATTTTACATCACACAATAAAACATTATTAAATATACATATATGGTATAAAATATCGTAACTATTACAACGATTTTTTTTACATTTATCTATAATTTTGATATGACTAATAAAATATGCATGTGTATAAGGATATGTATTTTACAATATGTACATTATTTACAGTTGACCTCAGAACGGTATGTTAGTCAAATCGTATAAGATTTCTTAGATCTTTGAAATACTGGAGAAGCAGAATTTTGGGGAAAATAGTTTTAAACTAAAACACGTCTATGACAAACACAAACTCAATAAGAATATTTTCTTTCATTGAGATTTGAGATATTTCGCAATACAAGTTTTCATGACGAAAACATCTCGATATTGTCAAACCTAATGCAAAAGGGCTCTTTAGTTTTACGAGAGTTAACCTCTTCATGTGTTTACACTCGCTTAGTAACCTAATTTATTATACAAACATTAATTTAACAAATTAAATTACACTCCGCCGTAGCTCATGTTTATATTGGATACAGTGAAAGTTTATTCGTATTTAAAAATTTTAAAAGTTTTTTTTATTATACGTATGTAGGGATATTATTTAAAAAAAGGAAGATAAATTGTTCTTATCCTACTTAAACTTTCATGTGAATAATTAAAGTTTACTCGATTAAAAATAAAAATAGTAAGTATATAATTAAAATAGCTTTTATCGTTTTAGATAACATGAACCGTAAAAACATTTTACGGACATGTTTTTATAAACGTCATTAAACGTTTTAACTTTGACGAGAGTAATAAATCACTGTCATTAAATAGGATGATATTGAAAATAAAATTTTATACATTGTTATGCCACAGTTATGACAGCTGATGTACGCATAATTGTTGCAGTAACATAATAATTAAAACAATCAAAATTATTTGCATAACAATTTGGATAGCTCCTTAATTTTCATTGTAATATGTGCTTCACTATGAGTATAACAAGCAGAATAACCTATTATTCTGTCTAACAAAGTAAAAGAACACGTCAATATTTAAGGTCAATTTTCTTTTACGAGCTTATATATACTTAAAATATTTATTTAAGCACAAGGCTATTAAATTTCAATTAAAATATTTTTTCTTTTGCTTCAATAATAAAGGTGAATCTGATAATATGGTTATAGATTTTGTATGTTTGTATTTTCCACTATTAAAAGTATTATATTGAACAGGAATTTAAAAGCTATTTCAACTGTTCTTTTCCCGTTATATTTTCAAACGACATTTAGTTTTCAAACGACATTTAGTTATCTGGATTTGTCAGTGGCCTAAACCAAAAATAACATTGATTTAGTGTGAAATTCCAAAAGGAATGTTAATACTTTTGAGACAAAATTAAAAAATAGAATATTGGACTATTCTGTAAGAAAAAGAAATTATTCACTTTGACATTTCCATTAAAAGTGAGAACTAAATTTATTATTATTCTCTTAGTGTAACTTCAATCAACAATACCTACTTTCAAACAATCAGACGGTTTCCATTTCACGCCATTTACTCTTTATTCTAATTCCCTTGAATTACGTCAAAATAAAATCTGACGATGTTCTATCAATATTAATTTGTTCCCAGCGAAATTCTTGCGTTATCCAGCCTTCCATTAATATTAAGATCTAACGAGGTCATCTTACGTCTTCAAAATTCGTGTAGAAGATAATTATGAGTGATGTCAGAAGTAAGCCTATGTAGCTTGTTGTTGTCTTGACTCCACTCTGAAGTTCAGCTAGACTTGAACCTGTTTGAAAAGAAAACAATTATTGTTCAATAACAGCAAACCATTGCCGCTTGAATATTATTCTTTCTCCGCAAGAATAATTATTGATACACTGCATCTACAATGTTTTCAGTGTCTTTAATCTTTGTTCTTATAAAATAATATACATGTTTCTTTATAAGTGTAACTTAATAAGAATCGTACGTATAATATCAAAACTTTATTAAAATAACTTTTAATAGCAAATATTATTTTTATTAAATCCAACTGCAAATGAGATTAAAATAAAAAGTGGTAAAGTCACTCTCTTAGTAAAGAATCTACTTCACTCTTGTCTAGAATACACAAAAAATATAAATAAAAATAAATATAAATGCAGTCTATCTGTTCCAATCCTTTGTAGGGGAAGTGCGTCGATTTGTCCGGCGGCGTAGTAGATTTACTACAAAACAATAAAGGCTAGCCGTGTGTCTTGTTATGCAATGTTACGAAGGAATGGAAGATAAAATACTGAAAGACTGGCTACTATCGCCTGTACTCAAAGTGACTAGATTACTTCTAAAATCATATGACGGTCACCAAAAAACGAAAAGTTAAAAAAAGATTGAGAGGTGATATTTTTTAACATCTGCCCACATGTAAGAACAGTTTTATACCATAATTTTCTAAGAACACTAAGTTTTATTGCTGAAGACAGTAGATGCATTTCAAAGATACTTTCTGAAAAGTTGAATTCAAGAGGTACTGGTTAATTGAAAGACAAGTCTGTATTTTGGGTGGTATCAAACTTCATAAAATCTGCCTCGCCCTATAAGGAATCTGTCTAAACTAAGTTAGTAACATGAACTCTCGTTCCAACTGTATTTGAATCCCGATAAACACAACTCTGCTGTCATTTGTGTAAACCAAAACTCCTTTAATAATCTATATCACAAATGAAACGAGTTATATATAAATTTAACGTATTTCGTGATTACTTTAAGCTGGCATTTGTGAAAAGAATTTTATGGATAACAATTGATAATTTGATACTAAAGATGTTTTGTTTTGGAATACAAATCATAAATGTATTACAATACAAATTATTATTAATGCAACTACAAACTAAAATAAATACAAAAACACAACTGCAATTAAATTTATACTTTTGTTATTTTGTTTTGATCTAATAATTGCGTCTATAAAAGTTTTTGAAGCCAAATTAGTTCTGTATACTATAGTAGGCCCTTGTGTTCGTGTTAAGTTCCTGTATTAGCATCCCGTTTTCGCGAACTTCGTCTCTCTACTTCGTAACAACCTTAATATGTTTAATCGGGTCGGGTTCCTTTAATTAATCGTAACTTGTCGAACTCGACTACTTTGTTTTTTACAATTTTGTCCCTATGCAGTATATTACATTAATGTAGATAAATTTTAGTTTTATTTAAATATTTTATATATTGTTTCCATAAATAATAAATATTTTATGTATTTTTCACAGAGCTGTTAAATAAATATCGAATAGCCTATAACATATATATTACGTACTCTTCTGGAGTCTCTTAAAAAACAATATAAATAAAAAAATATATAATACATTTATTTTAAGGGAAATATATTAATAATAATAGTTTATGAAAGATATGGCTTGTGATAGCTTATTTAATAATGTATGGAGTTTATACATTAAAATGTACCTTGTAATACATGAACCCTCGCTACGGCTCTCATCGTAATAGGCGATTCAAGGGCGCAGGTGTAGTTTCCCGCATCTTCCACTTTAAGATGAGCTACCTGCAAGGAAAATTGTCTTAAAAATGTTGAATCATTGTCATTTTGTGTAAAAACAAATGACTGAGCAGAACTACTTTCTCATGTAATGTTTCTAATTAAAGTTAGATAAAATTTTGTAAATTAATTAATTACTTTTTTGTTATTTCAAACTTATGTTGTCTTATTCTAAAAGATACGGTTTGAAGTTTTGAAGTTGATATTCACGGAATTTGATTCTTTGTAAAATACCCAGTTAATACTCAATTGAATCCGCTTGAAGTAGGAACAGTTCTTTTAAAAGGGTATTGAATTATTTATTTTTATATGATACTGCTTCTTAAATATTGATATTTATTAAACTATTATTGACTTAACATAGAAAAAGTATTGTTATGTAATTGAAAAGAAAAGGAAGAAGAGTGAGTGATTGAATCACGAATTGGACATTTATTTAAGTTAAAATGTTATTTCTATTTCTTTATATCACATGGAATCTATTTATTTATGTATATGTATGTAGATATATTTGTTCATATAAATTTGTTTCAAATAATATTTATGATTATGTTAACTTTATGTATATGTCAAATGCGGCTTTGAAGAATAAGAGTGCAAGATTGTATTTTGTTCTTCTCTATTTTTTGTAATATTCCTTTTTAATATGCTTTTGAGAGTGTACAATAAAGCTTACTATATTTTATTACTCAACCCCAAAAGATAATATATTGTTATCTTTTTTATCTATCCTTACAATTGCTTTTTAAATTGTATCCCTACATTTTAGTTGGGAATTCAGAAAATATCTGGATTTCTGTTCACATTCGAAACGTATTTCAGCCATACAGAACATATTTCATGTTCTTATATGTAGCATTTCTAAACAATCGAACTTGACGGTACAAGCAGCCGTTTTGCATAGAACATGACCGAGATCCCATTCTCCAGGGACGAACTATTCTATTACTAAAGGTGGGTTGCTGAATAATATGAATGAAGATTAAAATTTCCATTTAGACTATGAGACAGAGCTTACTGATATAACAAATGTAAAGTTTATTAGCCTGTTTCGCTATTAAATATTTACGCTTTAGTTATTGGCGAAACTAAATTCTTGTCCAGTATTATTTATATTTAAATTTAGTTAATTATAAATATGACAAAGTCTAAATTTTTTTTGAAATCTTTTTGTATTGTGAAGTACAATTTTCATTTCAGCTCAGTTTTTAGCCTATTAATTACAAAAATGAAAATGCCTATAGAAAGTGTCCAGACATTATTTTAATATCTTAGATAGTGACTCCCTTCTTCCTTTCCACTTAAAGTATTACTCAGAATATTCAGACCATTCAATACGAAACATAATGAAAATGAAATAATAGTCGTATTGTTTTCAATGTATAAACACAATGAAACAAATGCAAACACAATCTTGCTTGATCTCATTACTCGTTTCCATCCAAACGTCTTAAGGCTTCTTATTCAGTAACTAAATTAAATTACGAAACGAAATTGAGACGTCTTGAAGAAGGCATTTGATGGAAAATTTTACTTTATGTGTATATAACTGCATAATTTCATCATGATTTCATTTATTTCCTTGTCAGTCTTTTATACGTCCCATAAATACGAAACATTTCGCGAGGATTCCTTGCTTTTTGAGTGTTATATTTATTATATCATCTGTGTATTTCTAGCCTTACTTCTATTTGTATTTATGGAACATATGGAAAAATATGTATAATTACAACATTTTATGATATTTTTTCATATTAAAATTTAATAAAAACAACCACTAATTTAATAAAAAAACTCATATAAAACTTTGCAGATCTCTCAAAATAAATTTATAAAGGTCTTTTTTCATATGGATTATTATACACCTACTAAAGATTTATATAAAACAACTAAAATTTTATCTATTAAACAAATGTATAAATATAAATTATGTATACTTATTTGAAAAATATTAACAAACCTTACTCATTCTCAAATTACCTTTAAAACCAAAACCCATTCTTACCACACAAGGAACAGATATAAACTACATAGAAACACCGAAAAGTCGAACTAAGTACGGCATTAAAACTTTTTCATTTGAAGGAGCACACCTGTATGACCCTTTGCCTCTGAGTATTGTAAATTCAAAATCCCTAAATATATTTAAAAAACGATTAAGAACCCATATATAAGATGATTTCACTGATCTTGTTTAATATCACTACTGTTTATTATTTGTAATATCTTAATTGTACATAGTTATAATTTTAAAATTTCCTTTGTAAGCGAATTTTGTTCTTTTTGAAAATAAACTTCATTAAACCTAAACCTATGTATAAAAGTGAGTTATTAATAAATACCAAATATAATTATATATGAACTTGTAAAAAAATAGAAATTTAATCTTGTAGGTAAATGATTATAAATAGTGGATAATTGCATTGACACGTTTCTTATGTCACGAAGGGTATAACCAAAAGAAATATTTTAGAACGTTTTGACAAATAATACTTATGAAGATATAATTTCTTACTAATATATATGTGTATAGCCATTCTAAAATGTGTGTTTTTATAAACTCTTAAAGACTATTTGACGGTTAAGGTATAGTTAAAACATACCACTATTTTTCAGAACTAAGACTTTTATAAAACCGTAGGAACACAGAGTTCAGATTCGTACAATGTCCTTAGTTACTTATTTTGAATGATGTAACTTCATTTTAATACAAACAATGAATTAGTTTAAGTAACAGTATAAGCATATACATATTACTAATACTCAACCACTCGACTTAGACATTTATCCTTATAGAGATATTTCTATACATTTTCTCGTCCTTTAGGTTGGGTGAAATCCCAATTTGTATACCAATATGTCTCTCGGTTATATCAAGACATAAGCTTATAATTTACATAAATAAATAATTTGTTTGTATATATTTTATAAATGCTCCTATTCTCCTAGCAGTTTTCTGATTCTCAAATATTTGATATAATAAATTATCCCGATTACTAATGTACATAAATATTAACTAAATAAATTACAACCTTTTTAAAACCTATTGATTGTTATGACTTATGAAATAAAGACGACAACTTCTTAAAACTATTGCTACATATCTTGACAAACTATTTTATTTCGTCCAAATATCCAAAGTTAGATCATCCCTTTTTTCTGTAAATTTAATCAGTTTACAAAATACTACTATTCCTTAATTTTTATGTAAAAAAGGAACATAAATACGCGAGTAGAAAGTACTTTTAATAAAGGAACATATTTTGAGATTTACAGCAGACATCCGCTTTCAAAATATAAAATTCATTAAAAAAATATACGAAACCTGAAACAAAAACGAAAAATGATATATTTTTCTCTTTTGTTGCGTTTGTGTTTAAAAAAATATTTTAATTATAGCTCTCTATCTTAATTTATCTCGCCTAAAGCACAAATTATATGTATTTACCTATAATGCCTTATTTTGTATGTGTGTGTTTTTGTATGTGTGTGGGTGTGTGTGTGTATTAAAGTATAATCTAATAAATAAATAATTAAATTCTCAATATTTCTCAATATTCTATATATTAAAAATAAATTATTAAAACTAAATATTTTGCAGACTCTAAAACGGTTCTATCAGTACTCTTAATAATGAATATCAAAATTTGAAGTTGTTTTCTTTGTAAGCAATAATTTGAAGTTATTTTGTTTTGTAAGCATTTTTTGATTTCTGTATTGCACAAAATAACAATACTTTCTTTTAGTAAATATGTTTTTATTGAAGCAAGTTTAATATGATTAACAAAAAAAGAAACAAAACCGACGTATCTTGTCCAAGATATTTTATAAAACTGCGGATATTTTACGAAACTTGAGAAGTCTGAATATTTATGGCTTAACTTTTTTTACAAATGAAATGCTGTCACTGACAAGTCAGCGTTTGTATTCAACTTCGTAACTAATGATATTTCGCTGTTATTTTAAAAATTCGAGGACTAGAAATGATAATTACTTTGATAATAACATAATATAATAAAAAATATTGGACTTGACAATTATTTAAAAATCAAAGACATATATATTTTTTTATTTACTTGTACTCATATTCTGTAAGTTCAGACTGATTCATAGCTACAATAACATTAAACTTGAACAGCTTCATTGTAGACCAGATATATGAAAATATGCTTATGTGAATTGCCAAGAGTCTAAATAATTTTATCTTATGGAATATCTTACAGCATGAAGCTCATTTGTTTACCTGAATTTTTACACCTGATATCTAATGTTGCTTTATATCCATTTTAATACTCTCTTATACTTTAGTGCTCTTATCTAAATGACTGTACCGTATAAATTGCTTTTTTATTCAAATATCAACATTGTTCACATTACTTAACGGTTTTGCCACCACTTTCGTCATGTTGTAGCAAAAATGGATAACTAAACAAGCCAATTCACCTGTAACACCTACCTTGCACTTTGTTTATAAAAAATGTATTTAAAAAAACCATTCAATTTATTCTCATAGATTAAGCGTTAAAGTGTATTACAGAAAACATCAAAGTCAGTTACACTTACGGCAAATAACACGTAGGCTGAAAAGTCTCTGACCTAAGAATATCGTGAAATTTTGACAGACGTCTAGTGTCTTGAAATTAAACTTTTTGGTCTTTTCATCAAAAATAGAGAGTACAGTACAGTTACAGCTCTCGTTGACAAGTTCTAGAGTAGTAGAACTTGTCAACGAGAGATGTAATGAGGGTGCTATTACTCAATGAATATCCGATTAAAAATGGGATAGTAAAAAAAATTTACATCCCTACGCCGAAACCTTCTAAGAATTCTTCCCCGTAATATTACTGATAACAACTAAAGCTCTATTTTATCCACACTACCGGGGAATTTAAGACGTATTGCGAGGATAAATATATTAAATATCACAACAGGCATACCAGGTAGATGTCGGCATGTTAAAAGGATGTAGAGAATTTTAATATAAATATTAACCTAATTTTGTATATTACAGTCTGGAGTGTATTATAAACATTTATAAGAAGTTTTGAGAGCAGTAACTAATACTTATCAAGAAAGTAAAAGTAAGTAAAATTTGGTTCACTTATAAGTAAAAAAAATATTTCATATGTCATTTTAGGGCTTATTACTTGGTGTATGTTGTCTGTAAGTATTCACATATTGAATTTTAAATAAAATTTGAAAACATTTTAATTTAAATAAGCGTAGACATATTACTTCGTTTTTAAATTATAAATATAATTCGTTATAAATATAATATAATATGTATTAATGACCTGGGGTACGTGAACAATTGACTTCTTATTGACTTGTATAAAAAATGTTTGAGACCGAATAAATCTCCGAATAACAAAGTTTAAAACGGCCTTTATTAATTCACTAATTAAAAGAGTTTTATATTTCTTTTAATTTAGAATTTAAGAAATAAAAAATATATTTAAATATAAAAATATCTGTTACCTCATTAAGAAACTTACAATATTATTTTCATTGTACAAAATTAAGCTACAAAATTAAATTTTAACTTCTTCGTTAGTGGACATGTATTTTAATTTTATATATGAGGCTCAGAACCATACTCATTTCCCAGGTTGATGATAATAAATCTGGGAAATGAGTTACTTACTGTATTCTAAACCACTAGTATACATGCTAATAATGACATAAAAGATATTTCATGTTTTTAAAATTTCATAACCCGTAGGAGTAAATTGGATTAAAAAAATAGATTAAGGTAAATGACTTAATATATGTACATAAATGAAAAAATGTTCATTAAGAAGGAAAAAGATTGTTTTAATCAAGCAACGTATATTCGTCTATGGCAATCTTAAATGTGATAGTACATGAACAGAGTACGTGAACCATTTTTCTAAGAAACGTAATTTTATTTATTAAACTTATGTATTTTCTTTTCCTTTCAGTCAAACTGTTCTTTCTTAATTTTTGTTTGTACGTCATATATATTAGAAATTACTTTAAGACTATTTTTGCTAATATTTAGCACTTTTGTAATGTATTTTAATATACATATGTATATTCAATGAACCAAGAGCTTTTCACAATAATTCGCTTAAAATAAAAAACATAGATATTTGATAACTTCCTAAAATCCAGACATATATCTAGCGAATAACTATTCTGAAATGGAACTCGGCTACATATTTGAAATTCAGTCCAATCTAGTTTTAAAACAATTGGAGTGAATACCTACATGTTAATTTGAAAATATTTACGTTGGGTATAAATGCATTCTATTCGAAGACTATTAAATAGAAAACCTGATATTCAATCACTGGCTTTTTGTTCATTTATAGTAACTTAGTTTTTTTGTGAAAAATTTCAAAACACTTCATTCTAATTCAGAATTTATATTATTTTTATAGATAACATGAAGTAAAGTATATGTAACAGGGTATTTCTAAAAAACTATTACAACATTACAGGTAAAATTAAAGTCATTCGGGATTTAATTTTAAACTATTTGCAAGTAAAAGTATTCGACAAGAAATTGAAAACTTACCTGAAGATGACTTGTGAGCGTTAAAAGATCTGTCTCTACTAGTACACCAGACCGTATCTCATCAAGCGGCGTGGTATTGTTTCCTCGGTACCAATGTAATTCACTCGCTTCCCCGGGATTTAAGTGCAACACAGCGCACTTGAGCGATAGAGTCTCTCCGCTTTCCAGGAAAGCTTCATTGTTCATTTTTATTTCGGGCGCTGAAATAACATTGCTCTAGATATGAAAGCAAATATAACGTTTTCGTTCTATTTAATGAGGATTTTCTTAAGTGTCTATTGCAAAGACTTAGTATGTTTGTTATATATTTAGATAACGCTATGTAATTGAGTTTATAATTGTTTTATTACATATGTTATACTTACGATGAACAACTAAGCGAAATCGACGTAACATTGGCGGATGCGTTGACACATGACAGCAGTATATTCCAGAATCTTGAACCTTAGCATCCGTGAGAGACAACTTCCATGTCTCACCAGCAACGTCCACTTTATATCTGAATTACATTGAATATTAATATAAAAGCAATTTATATATCAACTGTTACTTAAATTTCATTTTCTGTCTCCGAAAATGAAGTTCCGTAAAGACTTGAAGAAAATTTTACGTTTAATTAATAAACATTCTCATTACTTTTTGACACAGTTATATCGTTGTTGTAAATCGAAATATCATCAGTAATTTCACTTACCTCGGATCTGTCGTATGAGTCTCTAAATCAACAGTCAAAAGTTCTAGATTTGTGTCATTGGACACCCTCAGCCAGGATACCTACGGCAGAAAATTAGTTTTTCATAATTTTTCTTCAAGATCGTATTATGTAACCAGATACTTACTGTCAGAAAAATTTGAAATTATAAAAATAAATTATTTGATGAGGCTCTTATATTGATGAGGCTCTTATATTTGATAAGCCTTCATAAAATATGACAATATTACTCCTGTTACAAATTTTAAGTTAAGGCTTTTTTTTAAAGTAGTGTAATTTTATTATTGTATAATTTACTATTTCATTAACTAGTTCATAATTTAACAAATTTTACTGGATTATTAATAAACAAATAAAAATCTGTTGAAAAGAAAATGAGAAATATACACTCACTGTTTTATCTCTTAACGATGAAACTCGACAATCAAATAGAACAGTTGCACCTGTGTCTGTGTTGATAATTTTGTCAGAGTTTATGTCATCTTCGAATGACGGGCCTTTGAAACTGCAACGAAGCATTTTAAAATGAATGTATCAACCGGCTTTAACTGGTGATAAAATTTTTATGGTGCTACGTAAGTCAAGGTTTCATTTACATTTTTTAAAGGAATTTTTTATTGAACGTAGACAAAAAGTAAAAAATATTTTTGTAGTCACAAGTATGCAAACGCGAAATATTTGTGAATAAAAACAAATTCTTTTAATTACTAGATTGCGTGACTGTTTCTTTGTGCAATTTTAAAATAATTCTTATTACCAATAATGTTGATATTCTTGGATATAATAAACATTTTTAAAAGTTTTTTCTAAAATTTACTCATTTATTATATTTTTTAAGATACGCTGCTTTTAACATTTTTTTTCTAGGAAAGCAAACTTTCTACTTTATTTTCAAGATAGAAAACTTATTATAAAGTCAGTAAATTCTGTTGCAGAAAACAATAACTACAAAGTTTCTTGACCAGCTTCTTAATATAATCTACACATTGAAAAGATGGCAGGTTCTTATCCTATGGTAATAATGTATGCTTAACAAATATCACTTAAGTTATACTTATTAAATTCTCTTCTTTTAAAAGTATTCGTATTTAATTGAACTACAAATGAAATGTTCAAAGACCTTAAATCAATATAAAGTGTGTGTACACAAATTATCCGATACAATATTTTCCGAGTGACGGTTAAAGGGAGGGTCATTATACCTTTATTCTTGTTTTTTCGCCAACAAATCGCATACAAACGTGTAATACAAATTACACATAAATAAATATATATGTAAACACAAAATTTTTAATTGTCCTAATTAATTAGGTTTGAAAAATAAAGGAATCAATTCAAACACATTTAAAATTAAATTTCATCTTTAAGAAACAAATAAATAAGGTTGTTTGGTTGTTTTAATAAATCGCTACATAAAGTGGAAAATTAACCAATTATATCGATCGCTTAAAGACCAGACCTTGAATAGTTAAGGCAATTCTTAATATTTTATAAGCTTCTAAAAGTCCTAATGGCTTTAAATATTCAAGCAAACCTTGGGTAGGTTTGTAAAAAGTATTAATTATTATCCTTTAATAACAAAATTGAGCCGTATTACCTAAAAAATTAAGCTTTTTTTAAAAGACTTTTTTATAATCAATATTCAGTATTATAGGAAAATCAATCTAAGATTCACTTCTTAAACAAAGTGTATATTTTTAAAATAATTTACATATGTTAATTAAGAGTAACGGCTTTTTAAAATGAATAAAAATTTATTATGGCAAACCAATGAGAAAACAAACATTTAGTTTGTAAAATTTATTTGAAAATGTTATCATGGCCTTTCCCATCTAAAGGGTTATCGATTCAAGTTTAAGATATAAATTTATCAACCTTAATTTGTTTTGAACATTTAATTATTTCAGGGCTTTTATTCTTACTTTAGTTATTCTAGCCAAGAAAATATTATTCATCCAATTTTCAAATTTTTATCTCCTTTTTCCGACAAGTTGAAGTGTCTCTAAATTATAAGAGCTCAAGTTTCTGACGAAGTAATTTGCGGCAGTCAACACGAGTTGCGAAATATAAATTGTGGTTATGGCTACAATGTAGCAAAATGAATACTCGACTAAGCCGTCATTTTACTGTTAAAATTATATTCCATGACAAGAATAAAAGAAACTTTACCAACATAATACAGAAAATTATTCTAGTTTATAATTTTTTTAAGACTATCATAAAGGTGTTCAATTTAAGTGACGAAATACGATACAAAGGTTTGCTCAGGCATACTTATACTTAGAAAAATAAAATCATTTCCGATATACCGTACTATATTTTAAAATTCGTGACAAGGTATTTAAAAAATTGAATAACTTGGTTAAATAAGAGCAATTAAAAGTGAAATGACCAAGCAATAATAAAAGTGAAATCGCTTCCTTTGGTTACCTTTAAATCTAATTATTATTAATTATATTTTATTTATTCTTCTAATAAGATTGCTATTTATCTACCGTTTATTATTTTTATTCGATTTAAATTCTTAAAGTACTAGAAATCGCTTTGAGATTTAGTGTTAAAGTGACTTGGTCTGTCGTTTCACTGACTGAATGAAAGAAATCTCGTGATATTACTTATGAAATCATGTATTAGTTCGTGATACGAAGTCATACTGTACACTTATCAACTACAATTGATATTTCATTTATTTAAATTACATCGCCAAACGTTTATTATTACATCAAAAGAACCTTAAAGCCTTTGTGTGAAACAAAATCAATTAGAGGGTAGCGTCTGTAACCTAAGTACGAATGTGTATCGCTAAGAACACACACAGTGTTGATGCTTCCTTTCAAATGCCTTCGTATATAGATTTGTAAAAATGCTTATCTATTGTTGTATATTTATTTATTTATTTATTTATATAGAGAAGATACATGTATAGAGGAGATACATTTCATTTAAAAAAAAATTACCACTACTTACAAATGATTTGTTTATATTCTTTGAATGTTAAAAGTCTCTACGTAATACTGAGTCGCAGTGTAGAAATTGTTATTTCACTGTTATTTTTTCTTTATCTGTAACATTAATATTTGGTCAGATCCAATGTAACTTTTAAAAAACTATAATATCCATTACAGAGTGATTTTATTACGCGGAAGGATTAATTAAAACTTTATTGAATGCTGACAACAAGAGTCTTTAGAAGACATTATTGAGTAAGAGATCTCACCACTTTCAAAGAACATTTAAATTGTTTCCTATTCAAGCATAAAATGAGCTTGAAAGGAGTTGGTTTTACCTAGAATTAATCTTCATTCTAGAGCTTCTTTCACAACGTAATAGAACTATATAAATTGAAATATAAGCGCGGCCACAAATGCCCTTATATTTAAATAAAAATATTTTTTTATTAGAAATACGGAAATGTGCAAAGTATTTATTTGTATCAACGCAAATATAATATTTTTTCTCTCGATTCTTTACCTCAATTGAGAGATAAGAGATGTTTACTTTCGAAAATCGTATGGTAGCTTGTAATGGAGTGCACGTAAATTGATCTCATAAATGTTTATTATACGTGTCAATTCAAAATCACCTCTTCTCTATAGGAAATGTGTGAATAAAAGTAAGGGTCTTTAAAACAATGCCAAGAAAACACAAGGGGAAGATTTAATGTAGGCTTCGAAGCGGTTTGAAATAATATTTATTGTTAGAACAATTGGTCATATTAGTATTAATTTATCAACAAACAAAAATAATAAAACAGAAATAACGAATATTTTTTTCTGTATTTTCGTTCACGAGAGAAATATGGGCTCATATTTATATGTAGAAATAGGCCATTTTTATATATAGATTTATTAAAATTACTGTTAAATTTTAATAAATCTATATTATTATTATTTATTATTACTCAATTTACATATTATACTTGCTATTAAATTCTGCTATCTTTGCATATACATAAAACAAGCCGCACTATGTTTTTCTTAACAACAGGCACCTTAGCAACCAATTTTCATAAGAAAACTTATATATTACTATGTTATAACTCCAATCTATTTATATTTTAGAACTTCTATACATACGCATTTTTATTTTATTTATTGGTTTTGAATTCTGGAATGTAATTATGTTCTCGTTAAAATATGTATATTTAAAATGCCTTGTCATTACAACAGTTTTAGGGTACTTGGTAATTAATGTTAAGGCAATATATTATTTGACAAAATGTGGTTTAGAAATAAGTCATTTTTTAAATATTACTTACTTGTCATGGAAATGTTTGTTACTTGTAGCATATGAATCAAAAATATAATTCAACATCGGTGAATCTGACTTTCCCCGTCTAGATGAAATTCGTCTTGCTTTAGTCACTGACAAAGTAAATACAGTTGGTGGCATTGTACTTCTGAGAAGATATGTAGAATCAGATGTAGGTGAAGCTGAAATAAATATTAATCTTAACAAAGGTTTCAATATAGGGTAATATGTTTTTATTAAAAGGTCGTATTTTTTTGAGCATTCATCGAATCAACTAAGAAAAAGTTGTGATAATATATATTATTTTTATATTTTATAGCAGATTGATAGTATTTTAAAATAATGAGAAATGTATACTTCTTATTATATCACCGTAATAAGTATCTTATTTTAGCGTTAACAATATAACTTTGATGGGTAATTCTAGCTTTAACTTAAGCAATTAATCTGGCTTAGAATGCTTCAATTCTCCTTAACTTGACAGGTTGGAAAATTTTGTTGATAATCCGTTGAATTTGATAAATTTCAGTTCCATTCATTCTATTATCATATTTACTTTATCTTCTAATTGTTATTGAAGAAGGGTTTTTAGTTAAAAAATAATTATATACATATATAAAGATAATAACCCTTTTCTTGAATTTAAATTATTTTTGTGACTGTCAAAGAAGATCAAATAACATATTATGATCGAATTGCTTCGGTTACATTACATAATACTTCGTGATGTTTGAAGATAGCAAATACATGGGTAAAAACTTTGAAGCTCCTCGCGGGATGTAATTTGACATAATGGGAATGTATGATACAAGAGAGAGCCTATTTTTGCGTATCTAGAAGGTTTGTTTGAAACTATTGAAACTACGTATCAGGATATATCCAGGAAGCGTAAACTACATATATTAAAGTAAAGTTACCCGTCATATTCAAATGGGCAGTTGCCCTCATGAGAAGCATCAAGAGCAGTGCGATGTGGTGCATACCGCTGCATCCTACCCGCTCCGCAGGCCTGAAACAAATGATTATAATTAAATAAATGTTACTTTTGTGTGCAATTTTCGAGAACATAATATTCTATGGCAAGTTTGGTCTAATTTTCCACGGATTTTAGTAAATGCGCATTTTTTTCAACTTACAACTATAACAAATACATATTACATATGTATTATATACATGAGTGAACAACATAACTATGTACAAACGCGTTTTTACCTATTATATAACTTTATAACCAAATTAGAAAATTAAAATACTGCTCTTACATCTCCTGGAGTCAGTTTCATCAGGCAATATGTTAATTTACAATTACACGTACGTAAAATGTGATGTCCAATTTTAATTGGGCAGCTGAAATCATAAAGATTTTCATAGTGTATTCGATATTAATATACGTATATAATATAAATAAGACTGAAAACTGAGCAGCTAATTTTTATTCTGCATCTCTGTTAACCACATAAAAAGTTTTAGTCTTAGACTAGTGTACGAGTATATTGCGTCAAATAATAATTCTCCATTTTCTTGTTTTAATTTTTACATTCCAAGTGTAAAAGTGTTTTTTATGATTTATGTGTTGGCTACTTTGTAAAATAAATGAATTTTTTCATATTAAATTTGAAGAATTACAAGTTAAACTTATAAATGTATTAAGAAAAATAAAAAACTGTATTCTGCAGGCGTACAAAAAACTATTAATTACGAGTTTGCTATACTGATTGTTTTGTGTAGATTTTCATAAGGGTTTTTCAAACTAAAACAAAATGAAGAACCTTTCGTAACAAATATATGGGTATTTCCTTTTTTTATTCTTGTTGATATTTAAGGATATCTATATATATATAGATATGTATATATATAGATATCCCACAGAACCCCGAAGGTTTGTCGCATTTTATGTTAGTGAAATCAACAGATTCGTCTTAGTTGTGTGAGCAATATGTTTCAAAATAATCAGTTTTTGACAGTGACTACGAATATACTTATATATTTATTATACGAGTATTTACATATATTGTGGTTCGACATTGGTTAACTTTTTAGTATGCTAATAAGTTAGATCAACTTACATTTGAATAATAAATGCAACATTTGTGTTTCTAACTTGTAATTTTGCTCCATCGGATTTAGTTATTTTTTTAGTAGTTTTTTGCAAGTTCAATAAAGGGTACTTATTATTTTCGTAAAATTAAACTACTACTGTTATTCTAGAAATATAATCCTTATATTTCTCGAATAGAAGAAAGAATAGAGAAGAGAAGAGTAGAATATTTTGTTTTTAAAATATGTTATTTATTATTATATATTTTCAGCTTCATTTCACTTATATTTTTATAAATTTTAATTTAATTTTCAAAACGATGATTCATTTACTTTACTGTAACTTTATTCACTGAAAGATGAGATAGAAGCGTGGGATAAATTCATCTAATTAAAAAAAAACCAAAAGACTTTAGGTGGTTTTATTGTAAACCAAGTAGTAGTAGCATTTAATTATTTCTTTCTATTTTCTTAAAATTTGCATTTTGTACATTTTGTATTTCAAATACAAATTCTTCATGGAATATGTATTTTTCAATAAGAAACATTGTTATTAAAAATTATGAACACCTTTTTACATTTCAAAGAATATTTTTATATTCATTCACATAAAATTGTTCGCGATGTAACCGTTCTAAATCTTTATATTCCACAAAAATACAAACTAAGGTAAAAATTTGTGACTACAAAGTTACAAGAACTGCACAAAATGAATTCTAAACCAAGTTCGGTCAAAGATAAAAAGAAAATATATTATATTTCTTTTAGTCTCTTGAGTATATCTGCTTTGGTTCATACTCGTATGTAAACTCCATTGTCTTTTATAAGTAAATATAATGCTTATGAATAATTTTGAACTGTGATAAAAGGAGTGGACTATCAATTAAAAGAGCTAAAAAATTGAATTTGTTAAGGCCCGTACGTACGTACGTACAAAACTACAAAATTTTATGAAACACTTTTACCAACGTTTTTAATAGTGACATGATAATTGCTTTTTGTGTCTATAATAGACTTATCAATATATTACTTTATATCAAAATAACACAGAATAGAAAAGAATATGAATAATTATAAAAAAAGTTTAGATGAATATTTATTTCTTTGGAGTTTTATCATAATTCTACATTGAATTTAAATCCACAAAAAAGTTTATCCCTCGTACTTCTCCAAAGACGTTATATATTCATATGCTTAGTAAGGTTTCATGACGCTTAAAGAATAGAATGATATGCTGAGTTCTTATAGCATATAATTTTACTATAAACCGACAATATATCCAGAAACATTTGTATAAAAACGGAATTTTCGTTTGTTTATTTTAATGCAGATATAGTGATACAGATATAATATGCTTCATAAATAAAAAATCAGCAGCCTGTAAAAAAAGTACCATCGAAATAATTTTAATATATTTCATTACGTAATATGTTATTTGGTAAAATCCTGAGTCTCATTAACGCAAATATTGAATCTAGCATTCTGCACTCAGAAATAATAAAGCAGTTTTTTATGTGATCAATCGAAATTCATTCCCACAATTACAAACTTACGTGAATTTTATCTCTATTTAATTTGAAATATTACAAATTAGATGAAGTTCCAAGAAAAGTCCTATTAAAGTCTTATCTTGATTTCATTAAAACGTTCATGTGACACTTCGAATTTGATAAAAAACGCGATTCAAAGCTTTGTTTCTGCGTAGGCGAATAGTAATTATGTAATTGACAAAACCTATTTAAAGGAATTACGAGTATAATTGTGTCATTCGTTCCAAGTCACGTAGGGTCGTGCTCGTCACGGGTGCGGTCCGATGTTATTAGCCTAATGGGGTTTTTGTTACCTGTATTTTAAAAAGTTACAATTGCGTCTTGAATATGAATACTATGCTTACAACGAATGTCACAATTGTAATAAAGATTCAACATATTTTTAAAATAATGATAAATTTAAACAGTAGAAATGTAAAATTATTAAAATATATTTAACTAGATTTTGGACGACTTGAATAAGAAATTAATCATACACCCGGTAAAAACCACAGCCGTCCTAATTTGCGGTCCGCACAGTGTTATACAGATTTTGTTGATTAAGGTTACTCTGTGGAATTTACATGACGTGCACAGGTTCATCGTCGACTCCCTTATTGTCGATATAAATTTAATTTGGGTACTAGCTTAAATAACTAAAATTTATTCCTCTATTAACCAAAGCAATTTAAAGTATGTAAATTATATAGTAGTACGTTTTATATTGAAAATAATAGAGAAGTATTATATGTGTGAATGCAATTTTAAACCCTCATTTATTGCGTGAATTGAGATAATGTGACATATTTTTAAGAAGAGATAGAAATTTTTTCAACTGCAATGATTACAATTTATCCCATATATTGAAATATTTATTATACAATAACTTTTTCGACTACACTATTGTTGTTAGCATATTGATATGAAGCGTCGATATGTCATCGCGGCAGAACACTGGAATGATTTACATATATAAAATTGAACGTCGACTTCGCCGTCGAAAATATTATTAGTTTAATGCTCGTTAGATAGGGCCCCTTTAGCCTACACCTAGGTCGCAAGGTCCAGGCACTGATGAAACTCCTTTCCCTGCAACGATGGACCCGACACCTACACGGTAAAACCATTATTGAATGCTAAGAGGTTTCGTGTCTATAAGCTGCTACATAATGAGCCTATTCATGTTTGTAGAGGTTTATGTCATCACATTGTGTCAAGGTCTAAATGTACGTCTTCAGAACGTCTCTGGCCTAAGGGAAGTTGGTTGACGGTCACTAGTCGTCTACTTTAAAAGACCTATTAAATACCACACTTCCAAAATAACTTTTTGAGATGTCTTAAGTAGGAAGTCGGAGACCCTAACAAAAAGAATAAAAAAAAATCATGTACATTAAAAATAATATTTAGCTTTAAAATGAATCTCTTTGATGTAAATTATTTTTAGCTTTCTTGTTTTTTTATCATGTTCGAGATAGTCGATATATGTTAATCACTTATTAAAATGTCACATGTAAACAAAAGTTTGAGTTCGATATAATATTCAAATCATCAGATATATTCAAACAACCAGTAAAAAGCATAAAAGTTGTGCAAATAACATAAATACATATTATGTTTTAATATAAAGGCCAAATGTAATTTTTAAGAATAAATAAACGGATTCGTCAAAGACTATCTATGTAAATATTCCCTTAAAACGTTACCATTTAAAAGTACAGATTTTTTTTAAAGAGTAGCGTTTGAAAGGTATTTCATTGTGGTGGTTCTTAACTACACATCTTCAGTTAATCCGTTGATAAAGGTCCAGAAGTTTAAGTGTCTCTTTTCAAAAATTGTGAAATACGTTCTTCTTTTATATTTACTCGATAATGTTCCTCACAGTAAAAGAAATATGCCTTAGGTATTTTTAACAGTTTATACAATTTAGTTATTGTTGTTATAAAAATTATTTCTGTGATACTAGAAACACATACTTAATTGCTAATTTCAAACAGTTGTAGAATATAAACCAACACTGTCACAAAATTAAACAAAAACATTCTTAAAAGGAAATCAGCTTTAACATATGTTAAAATATGTTGATTTGTATCCAGTCTCTCCGCGTTAGTCTTATACTTCCCTATTCTTTTCATAAAAATGTTTATGATATGAGCACATTCCCTTTGACAATAAAATAAGTTTTTCGCATTGTTCTTTAACAAAATACTTTTCTGGATTTATAAGACGTATTTGGTACTACAAATATTCTATATATGTAAATATATCTGCATTTTATATTATTTACATATATAAGGTACAAAGAGACACAATATTTTTCTCTTCATTCTATTAAAGTTCACATTTCTTACTCTCACAGTTAATAGGTTAATATAAAACCATTAAAAATATATAAAACTAATTATAATAGAACTCTTTTGGTTGCAATGTAACCCTTTATATATAGAAGCCAATTGTTTTTATAATATACCACTTTTGAAACCAGTAATTCTAAGACTGACCTCACTGACTGACTTCGCTGAAACTGATTTAATCTCAGCTCCTTTGTTCTGCACAATGCTTCAGTTATTTGACAGGAATAATTAAAAAATTCTTAACTTACGAAACAGAAATAAAGAAAGAACCGCCTGCAATTACTAGGCGAACCTTGAAATCAATTGTGTAATAAAAAAATCGTGTTTAGTAATTATAATATATGAATATATCTTTCTTTTTTATTTTAATACAATTTTAGTTATCTATGAATATTTAATTAATTTTATCATATAACTTAAAGTTTTTCGTTACAATATAATTTTTATTTTAGTTTTCGACTTACTTAATTCACAAATAATACATAGATATCGACGAGTAAAGTTTTAATAAGATAAGATTTTACAGTTTTTAATATGCATTTTGTTTTGACTTTAAATCAGCCATAACATAAGTTTCTAAGAAAAATTAACTTTACTGCTTGTATTTTTTTTATTTGAAAAAACCTATAAAAGTTCCATGATTAAAAACGCAATTCCGTCCCTATACAAAGCGTATAACTTTTCTAGTGCATCATCAAAAATGTCACTGACAAAGGCTCATAGCACAATGCACTGGTTTAATCGTTTCTTTTGTCTTAGTGAACGGTAATTGGAGATGCTTTTACTATGAGACGCTTTGTTATCAACACGTCGACCGTGTTGTATGGAAATATAAATCTCATAAGACTAAATGTGTACATTTTTAACGATTGTTTCTATGAAGGCTGAGTTTAATGCAACATATATTTACAGAAATATATAAGTACTTATGACAAAAGGGTTTCATTAAGCATACAAATTGTGTTGATGTCTTTATTTTTAACAACATTCTGCAATAATAATTTAAATAATAATACCAATATGTTAATAGCACTGATTAACTATTTATGGCAGTAACTGACGCATTAATCAAAAGCAGATTACAAATACCGCAAGATATAACACTCAGCGGGTTTATATTCACAGAATTTAATTATATTTTAATGAGACGAATCTTTTGTTATGATCTCATCATCAAATTCTTTAAAACCCCTCGAAACAAAGATCGTTTGACATAAATATATAGCAATTACAGTATTCATTTTGGTGCTATTGACAGTCGTGAAAAAGATAAAGGTTTGAAATGCTATTATTATTAATTTGAACAAATTTATAAATTTCAAATTTTTTTTACTTATTATAATTTCTGCTCTAAAATAAAGTTGATTTTCGATGCATAAAGAAAACTTTATAATTGCCGATTTATTATAAAGTACTTTAAACGAAGCAATCTTCAATTATAAATATGGAGAACATAAGGAATAAGAACATCTAAAAGACTAGTTAAATACTCTTAGGTGATGGTTTAATCTTAATGTACTCATAGTAGGTCAGTAAGGTCGAAAATAATTTTAAATTTAACAATCTTTGATATTCTATGTAAAAGAAATCATCGAAATAACTCATTTTAATTCCAAAGAACCATTATATTATATTTGAATGTCAAGCTATGACATTGTGTGAAAAAACATTTCCATATAAATTGAACATTCTGACAACGAACTAATATATATTAAGGAGAAATAATTGCAATGTGGATGGTATAAATTACCCTGCTATGAGTCATTGTAACATATACGGTAAAATAACTACGTAAGAAACACTAAGTAAATTGTAGGCAGTTACAAATGACTAGCGTGTGAAGCACTGTAATACAAAAGACCTAAGTAATTTTTCTTACATGAACTGAAATAATCTTTGCCACTGGCTGCGACTTTATAGAAACCCACAGAAAATAAAACAGCAGGGGAAACATATTGTTCAAGCAATAAAGACGACAATCCAAACCCATCTTGGTTGTTGCCAACATCTTGAACATACGATAATAGCTCTTATTGCATTTGTAATAAAGATCTAAATGCTTATCAACATGTTTACTGCTTCATCAAAGTTCTTAAGTCATTTAATATGGAAGTCATACTAGAAATATAAAGTGTCCTCATTTCTTAACAAAATGTTGTACATATTTTGCTTTTCAAAATTACAAACATTCGGACTAAATCTTAGTTCAATAAAAATTTAATGACAAGATGTATAAAGATAACATTTCATTTTAAACTTGATTCTAACCACGATCATAAATTTCGGATTTTCAAACACATAATTATTCAATAATACAAATATTACAATAATATTATTTTATGTACCTATATCATCAAAAGTCATATGATAGTTTTTCCTGTATTTTTAAAACACAGATTTCTGTTTTGAATTATTAACACGGACTAAATATTTCGCCACAAAAAATGCAATAACATTCCGCCGGAACTGTTTTAACGAGCTGTTTTTCTCACCGGTTCGCTGGCGGCCATTTTTGGCACATGACATATTGTGCGCGAATATTGGAAAAGGGCATTTGGATTTTGTGTAGCGATAAATGTGTCGAAATGATGTTCCAAAGTACAATAGGTAACCAATTATCGTAGATATCGTTTAATAGAATTCGTTTTTGGGTTTCATCGTTTGATTTTTCGTATAACAAATAAATTGGCTAATATCATGATGATGATAAGTTATTAAATGATCGAAACGTGAGTAAAGTTTTACATTTTACAGAAGAGAAATGTTTTTTTAAAAGGGTTTCCACACAATTACGAGGGTCATAATTTTAAGTTCCAGATATTATTTATGAACTCTTAATTAAAAGCTATTAAATGAATAGTTAAACTTTCGGAGCGGAAGCAGCCATCTTCGGAGTTAATTACGGAGCTTCGTTGGATTTTGAATACTAATTCAAATTTTAACCATAAAAAATGTTTCATAGTAATATGAAAAGTTTATTACTGAAAATTATAGCGTTATGAAACAAATACTATTAATTTCCTTTCCTTTATTTTGGGTAATAATAATTTAACCAAAAGATTCTTATGAGGCCTCTCACAAAAATGTGTAGTAAACATTTAAGGAAATAAATACTTTTTATTCCGCCTACCTAAGTTCTATAACAGTAATAACGCCAATAGCCTTAATGTAATGTTTGTAGTTAAATAAATATGAAATATTTTACTTCAGTACCTAACAGAGCATGTAGAATATACTGCCTGGGTCAGGTTTGTATTACAATACGAAAAAGTCTCAGAGTTTTCCATTGATATTTTCCTCGCAGAATAGAATCCAGACTAGTATAAACATTCATCAATCACATATTTGCTCAGCCGGGATCGAATAATAGAACAATCATAATATATCTAGAGGAGATGTTTAAGCTAATAACATAATACAATATGTGTACTGGGATTATATACAGTAATTAAATGACACTTCAATTTTTAGATTAATAACGGCTTAAGGCAAAATCATATTTTTCATTTATCAATACTAATTAATATAATTGTTTTACTGCTTCTATAGATAGGTTTAAAATTTCTAATCACGCACGTGTATCTTTTGATTCATTTATTTGCGTAGAGGCATTTGAATTAAGTATTGTTACTTGATAAATCTACGTTTATTTATCTTTAAGACTCTAATTTCATGATTTTTAATACTATTTTTCAAAATTAAAAAAACGTTTATTACGATATTTCATTTTGTCACATCATGGTAAAATACAGTTTCGTCTTCGAAACTCTATTGAAATCCTCTTGCATTTCTTGGGACGTACTTGTATATTCTTTAAATTGGCGTCACCTTTTTTAGATTCGCCCATATTATCTATTTAAAAAATCAACGACGTCCTAAATTTTATTGCAATACCTATTCACAGGTTTGAAGTGGGTGTAAAGCCTTAAACCCAATAAAATATAGCTATATTAGTTAAAGTACATACTGATTTATATATTAATATTACAAACATTACTGTCATAAAGTTTTTCATTTTCACATTAATGTAATCTGTTCTTTATAAAATTTTATGTAGGTTAAGCTTCAGTATAGGAATTTCATAGAAGTAGATATGTATGTTGTTTGTAATTTTGACTTCTTTTTTTCCTCGCCTATAATTTCAGTAAACACTAATAATGTCTTAATAATTAAAGTTGTTTGGTTAATTTCATTATCTTTGAAAACGAAATGGGTTGTGACGAAAACGTTGCGGGAAATTTTAAAACAATTGAAGATTCATACAATAAAACCCCAGAAACTATACTTCTGTTAAAATCATATTTTCCAGGGCCACTAATAGTAATAGTTTCCTAAGAAATAATAAGGGTAAAAACCATGCTTTGAAGAATAAAAAGATAATGAAAATTTATTTATCAGAAATACCAAGGATTATACGTTTTCGTATCAAAATAATTATTAATATTGTAAATATATAATAGTAAAAATGTAGTCGAGTAAAATTGAATTCATATAAATTCTTCTTATAACGTTCTGGCTCATCGGTTCCGCAAATGAAATGTCCAAGAATGTGACACACTCAAACGAAATACCGTATCATGTTTGAGGTTTACAGACAAATTGAAATTACATTTACAAATTAAAATACTGTATGGACAATAATAATTAAAATTTTGTTCATTTCTCGGTAGGAATTAATTAAATTATTTCTGAGTTTCTATTGACATAAATAACCTTTGTTGATAAAGTCAGAAGTTACGTTTTAAGTATCTTAAAAGTTATTTTAAGACATAAAACGTTACTAAGCTGTTTTCTTAAGAAAATAGGATTCTTGTGTTTTAATTGACTCGCTTAAAAATATCTTATCACAAACAGACTTCATCCAAACTGAGGCTTTTGTCAGGTTTTTTATTTAACAAAAGTATCACGTAGCCGAATAATTATAATATAAATCTTTATGTCAACAGCAGAATTTTTTTGTAAGATATCAAAATACAGAACTGATTTAATTAACATAATATAATATTTGATGTATATGCAATAAAAAAAAGAATGTTAATAATGAATAAAGTTAAATTATTTTTAACTACAGATCTTATCTTTAACTGGAGTTTGTGAAATATATGTATATTGAACTTAGTTACAAAAGTCATTATGAAATAACAGCAAAGTTTCTTAAACTGTCAGCGTTGTTTACCTTTAAAAGAAATATTGTTTATATGTTTTAATAATATATGATAGTTGATAATACTTTAGACAGACTGTTATATTTAACAACAAAGCTTGTAAATGGGTAGAATCAAAGTTATTAAGAGCTTTCCCTTAGTCACATAATCAGTGTTAAAGAAATTAGTCTGAATTTTTTGTTTAATTCTATAACACTTTTCCTATTTCAATAATACTTAACATTTTAAAAGGTCAAAATCTATTTTAAAATATTACCTCCCAGATTGCCTACGATTTTGGAGAATTTTTTTATTTAATTTAGAAAAAAATAATTTCATGTCTTAAACCAAGAATTTCTTTTAAGTTCATTTTTATATTTGTTCCTCCCTAACTATGTTAATATATTATAAAATATTAAGTTATATAAACTTTAAAAATACCACTAATTCTCAAATATAATATTTAAATATATACATAGCTTTAAAGATATTAGGTAAAAGAGAATGTATATATATGTATGTATGTATATACTTATATATGAAAATATTAATACATATCTTTTATGTATATAGAAAATCATTTTTGAAAAGCTTACCACCAGAATGGTACCGAAATACATTATCTATATTATGAGTGCGTGGAAAATGAACACTTAAGACAAGTGTTTTAGAGTATACGGTTTAAAGACCCAAGTAAGGGTCTAAGGTCTAATCGCGTACAGCAGACGCGTCTCTGAGCTACCCTCGTATAAATTGTCTCACCTCACGCTATTACTAGATAACTTAAGAGCGTGATAAACCCCTGTGAAATATATCCATGATTTTCACACTTGGTAAACTTTTGTTTTCTCAAAAGATCAGAGACGTTAAAACTAAGAAATGTTATCTCTTAAATTAAAGCAACTTTAAAAATATGTTTCTTTCCTGGTATTCGTGGTATGGCATTACTACTGACACGTTTGTGTATTATTCATATTATAAATGAATTTTTTTTTTTATATAATTATGACAATTGTAAGAGAAAACTGTCCAGATATATTTCTTTCTAAAATGCCAGTATAAAATATATTTTAGGGAAACATATTGATATTGGAAAACATTTTAGTTATCATAACCTTCTACGTTCTTTTAAATCGAACAAATAAAATGTCCAAGATAGCAACACTCTTAAACTAAATCCCACATACAATGTTTGACATATTTCCGACTTTTAACACAAAAAGTGTTTTGTATTCTTAAAGAAATATATATTTTCATTTTAATTTAATACAATGTATGTCCTTATATGATTCCATTTTTGAATATATCTTGTTCTCTATTTAATTCATTTATTAATTTTTGATTCCAATACACCTAACGCTATGTTTTTCAACGGAAATTAAACTTTATTCATGTTCAGAACATGTAATAAGGGTTGAATGTAAAAACTTGAACATGTTAGCCCGAATTCAAAATTACCTCATAGAAAACGTTCCTAAAACTTATTTATATAATGTAATATTCCACAAGCACATTTTATTTTATTTCCATTCTTACATTCGCGTATATAAACACCTAATAGCATTTCATATGTAGAATTTATACACTTCGTTTATATTACGTTTGTATTTCTGAGCTTATTCTGGCATATATTAAGTTTAAAAACAAAGTCACTATCTAGAAGGAATATCTAGAATTTCATATTTCTCATTCTGAGAGACAAGCTACATTACAGGCTATTTAATAGTTTCTATTACATAAGTGAGAAACCTGTACGCAACATTTTAATTTTATTTTCATCTCATTTGAAGTAATAAATATAGTAGATATTATTTTATTAATTTTAAAATAAAACAAAATCTTCTAATAAATAATATAAAACAATTTATTTGGACATCATTTTACATTGCCTCCATTCATTTTACTCAAAACAAAAATTATACCTAAGCCGTAAACTGAGCAATTTCAATTAAAAGAGGGAAAGGAACGTGAACGATTGAGTTTTTAATTTTCTGCGTCGTTTCTCTTAACGACTTATTATTGCGGCATGTTATTTTTTTAATTCACCTGTGTTTTGTAATGTTAATGTTTTCACATATATTTTGATTGGTCTCATGTTTGTCATGTCTTATTGAATCGATTGTATGCACCTATCTCAATATATTGGGTTATAAAAAGAGATTGAGACTTAAAAGCTATTAGATTTCATGATAAAGTAACCAAACTCACATATTCCTTCACATTTCGTTAAAAATTTCGCTGAAACACAGTTCAGAAAATGAAGTTTTTGATCGTAAGGTGTGCCAAAGTTGAATACTATTTGAATAAAGTTTTATAGCGCTTTGGTGACCCGCCAGTATTGCCTTTGTTCGATATTTTGTTAAAGTATTGTAAAAGAAGTATATTTTGTGAGGAAAATAACATTTTTGTT